ATAAAAGGAACCCTAATAGATATCCAGACTAATTATAGCAGTATAGCTCTAGTGTTCATTTTATAGTCATGCAAATTTGGACAACTTATTCATCATCCCTGTGCCTCATACCCATGCAGTCAAGTCCTTGAGATTATATAAAATAATACACATGAAAAACTTAGAACAGTACTTGGTACATAATAATGTTAGCTATTACTGTTATCATTAAGCTCCACCATTTAAGACACCAGGGATATTGAATCGGGGATAGATAAATGGAATACAACAAAAAGCTATTTAAAAGCTGAGAAAAAGCTCATTCTCTCTTCTCTTCACACACACATTATGGGATATGATATCTTTTTTTTAAGTTTATTTATTTATTTTGAGAGAGAGCCAAAGGGAGAGGGAGAGAGAGATCCCAAGTAGGCTCTGCACTGAAAGCACGGAACCCAATGTGGGGCTCAATCTCATGAACCACAAGATCGTGACTTGAGCTGAATACAAGAGTTGGATGCTCAACCGACTGAGTCACCCAGGCGCCCCTGGGGTGTGATATCTTAATAATCATCTATCAAAAAGCCTTGGACAATTAGTCTGTCCATTAGAAATCTCTCTAGCACTAATTCCCTACTACATTAAGTTCCCCAAAGGAGGACGAAATTCTAGATCCATTATGACCTTCAGGTATTTCAGGATGGTGTAATATATAAGGTATATCTATAGATTTTAACAAACCAGTTGTCACAAGTTAAAAATAAGATCCCCAGGGATACCTGGGTGGCTCAGTTGGTTGAGCAGCTGACTCCTGATTTCAGTTCAAGTCATGATCCCAGGGTCGTGGGATTGAACCCTGTGTTGGGCTCTGTGCTGAGTGTGGAGCCTGCTTGAGATGCTCTCTCTCTCTCTCTCTCTCTCTCTCTCCCTCTGCCCTTCTCCCCAGCTTGTGCATGCTCACTCAGTCTATCTCTCTCAAAACAAACAAACAAACAAACAAACAAACAAACAGATAAACAAACAAGCTCTCCAGAATGGCTACAATTCCACTATGTCCTAAAATGGACAGGGTCCAGCACCAACAGTCTCCCTGGATATGAAATGCCTGCCAATCTCCTTCTGAGTTTTTCTATTTATTTTGCTAAAATAGGTCATAATTTTGTATTTAAACTCTTCCAAGAGCTATGGTAGTGAAGAACTTCTACACACATTTACATATGTGAACTGAATATTTTGCCACTTAGATGTTTTTTATGCCAATTTATTTAACCTGTCTGTGCCTCTGTTTCTACCTCCTTAAAATGGGCACTATAACATATTTCTCTCAGAGAGTTATGATAAGTGAAATACTGAACATAAAGTGGCAAATAGAACAAAATAAACATTAGTTATAATTAATTCCATCATACCATCATCATCATATGTCCAAGCCTGCTGCTAGGTGCTAGGAGTTCAAAGCGGAGACCCTTGTCATTTTCAGGAGACAAACAAGGAGCACACAAACAAGGAAATATAGAAAGGGCATCCCTACTTAAACAAGGGAATACCCCAATGGCTTAGGGTCTGAAGGAGATGTGAAAGCCCAAAGATTCCCGGGATGCTGTATCACCGTGAATGGCTCTGGCAAGTGACCAACAAAATAAATGTTTAAAAGGAACCATGCTTGACTCAGGCATCAGAATTCTTGTTTCCTGGATCTTAGAAACTCTAAAGGTCTAACTAAAATGGTCTCTCCCACAGATCACAGAGGCCGAAGGCCCCCGCGAAATGCTTTAGCACCAGCTGAATCCCAAGGAGTCACTAACATCTGTATGCAAGTTCTCAAGTTAACAGTTCCCCTAGGTTGAACGGGTTCCAAATGTTTCCAGATAAGTGCTGAGCAATGCGCTTTCTCTGTCTAGCAAGGGGCACCCATGAAAAGAAGGACTCTCTATCTTCTAGCCCAGGGCTGAGGTCCTATCATATTCTTGCCCTCTTTTGTGCTGTCACCCAAGGAGTGCTGTGTGTATGAGCCGAGCCCATACACTCTTGCCCAAACAGCCTTCCTCTGCTCTGCTCTCACATTCTGTTTTTTAATCCTCCAAACTGGAGGTGACTTACTCTGTTGTTTTGAGACCTTCAGCTTAAATCCAAATAAATCAGCCACGGGGAACCTTTAGGGGAGTCTGGTATTTCCGGCATTCCAGAGCAAAGGAGACTTACTGCTCCAGGTCACAGAACAGTCTGCTTTTACTGATCAACTTTTTTGTTTTGTTTTTTTATACTTTACTGAAACAGAAAAAATAAAATCTTCACTGTCTTCACTCCCTATTATACTAAGAAATTTCAGGCTTTTTAATCATTTTTTTGGTACAGCATTTCTTTCTCTTTTTTTGTTAAATGTATGTTTGTTGTTTGTTTGTTTGTTTATTTATTTATTTATTTGTTTATTTATTTATTTATTTTGAGAGAGAGAGAACAAGAGAGAGGGCAAGAGAGTAGGGAAGGGGCAGAGAGAGAGGGAGAAAGAATCTCAAGCAGGCTCCATTCTGTTAGCGCAGAGCCCGAAGCAGGGCTTGATCTCACAAAGTGTGAGATCACGAACTGAGCCGAAGTCAAGAAGTCAAGAGCCAGATGCTTGACCGACTGAGGTGCCCCCAGCATTTATTTCTGAGAAATTCAAGATCAATCTAAATGTCGTTTATCTTCCCAACAGAACGGTGAAGGTGGGCTTCCAGCTTCCCATCCCCTGACCCTCCAGCTGATAACAAGCATGCTTCTTGCCCAGGGAGAAGCTAATCACAGGGGTTGCCGAGATGTGCAGGCCATGCACAGGGCTGAGTGTGACAAAGGCTCAAGGCTGAGGTTAAGCGGGTGCAGCATGTGGTGAGAGCAGCATGCGGTGAGAGCTGACATTCACCATTCACTGACAGCCAAAAGAGGAGAGATGATAACCCCTCCTGTCAGGGCATCCAGCGGGAAAAGAGAACTTTCAGACCTGAATTCATAGTAATAACAGAAGAAATGAAGAATGTACCGTTGCTCTGCTTTTTTCTGAGTGAGAAATTAAATGCAACAAATATGTGACCACCGCTAACCTGGGTACTGAGCTCTAGGCTTAGATGGAGAAAAAATAACTATTAATTGAAACTCTTCCTAATGCCTGGGAATTTCTGTGAGAATGAATTTGCAGTTTCAGTACTGTACATCAAGTTGAAATTTCTTCCCACTGTAGTTAACTTTCAAGTTAGTGTCATTCAATTCCTATAATATTAACACATATAGTGTTTATTGACTAGGATATCCCTCAAAACTCCAGCTGAAATATGAAAGGAGTTTAATCTTCACCCATGAGAATTACAGTTGAAGTACCTCTATGCTGCAAGGACAACCAACTCAATAAACACCAGTTTTCCAGAAAAGGATTGCAGGAAAAACACATTCTACAGCAGACCACTAATATCACACGTTTGGCTCCTTGGAACTGGAGCTTGCTGTTTTAAGATGATATTAAAGAATCAAAAGATGGAATCATGAAGCCTTCGTGGAAAAGAGGGTCTCATTTTAACAACCAGCCGGGTCATTCAATATGTAAAGTATATCAGTAAAAAACAACAGAACCTTGATGTGCTTTTTTGGTTCTTAAAATGTATCTAAGGGTAACATAAAAAGTGAAATCTGGAGTTATCTGAAAATGAGCAGGTCGGTGGTTGCTCCACTGGTACCTAAGCATTCTTGTCGTCTCTGTCCTTTTTCAGCTTCTGTAATCTGCCAGCACCCTCCTGAGCCACCTCTCATTGTCCTTGACAACTCGGCTGCCTCTCTGTCTCTCCACTGTGAACCCTGCATGTACACAACTACACGGAGAGCAGCACTTTCTGGGCAACACCCCATGTTTTCCAGCAAGCACATCAACTAACTCACTGGATAAAGACTAGCAAAGAGGTCTTTTCTGTAGGTTTTTAAAGTATCATTAAACTTTATTCTCCACACAAGAGCCATAAGGCACTGGGACAAGCGTGGAGTTGTGTCCGAACCTCAGGCTAAAAAGAGCAGTGACTGCACAGGAAATGGCTGCCTTTATGAGGAGTAATGACAAATGATAATAAAAAGGAATAATGATCATGATAAATGAATGCTAATTGGGACCAATGACTCTGAGGAGCTGCCACATGTCAGCAGAAAACTGTGATCCTGTTCCTTCTAATAGTGACTTTGAGAAAATTAATAATTGATTTTTCAGAACTATCTGACACATGCTGAAACCAAGTGTTAGTGTTCATTCAAATGTCAATAATTTGGGGATAGGAGAAGGGCTGTGCTATTTAAAAAATTATATTTAAATCAAAAAATCTTCTAAAACCAAACATATTTTCAATTGCTGACTAGAAATCCCTACATTCTGCAAAAATTGGTATTATCTCTGTTAAAAAATGAGCTTATAGGAGGCTAGCAGATCTAAATATCATTATAAAATACAGAGACACAAGACAGACTCATTTCTAGGACTATTATATATCTATTTTTGTATTTATCTTTGTTTTGCTGTTTTCTTTAATTTCTACTTTCGGCGAATATTATCTTGCTGTATTTCAAACATCCTTATAAGCTATGTCAAAATACTGCTTTTTAAAAGGAAGAGAGAATAAGCATACTAACATATTTGTGGCCAAAATTGTTCAAATTCAAGATAAAAAGGCATTTTCAGTTACAGAGACATTTAAAAGGTGTTTTCTGGAGGTGAAAGGCTAGGCTTAGGTACAGTTCAGTGAGAAGATCTTTGAAGCATCTTCCCAAAACTAGAGTAGATATATTGATTACCAAACTATATACATATTGTGTTTCTTAGTCAACAAAAGGATTATAATAAAGAGCAATTGGGGATGAAAATGACATAATTTAATGCAAGTGAACCACATACATCTCTAGTCCTGCTGATCCATTTCTTTCAAAGTCATATTGCAAAAATAGGACCACTGCCTATAAGATAGAGACAAAACTGTAATTTCATCATATGATGGCCCAGCCATCTACTTACTCACCATGCGTGCCTGAAATAACGCGGGGATGAAGGACTGGTTAGATAGGCTGAGAATCCTCAAGGAGTCCTTCAGGACGTAGATATTGCCAAAATCAACTTGAGTGGGATGTACATAGATAACTGGGCCTTCTCCGATGCTCTTTAAGTGACATACCTGTGTTCCACACAAGAGAAGGAACATGAAGATAGCTGAAAACAGCTGGCTTCAAAGATCACTTGAAACAGAAGATTCTGGCCATCTCTTTTATAAAGAGCAGGGGCACAAAAGGGTGCTTATGAGATCTGTCATTCTTTATCCCTGTACTCTGTGGTCAGAGTGACCCAGAGATGGCCATGCTGGTCAGACCCGTGAATCCAGCCTGGAATTCCTCCCCAAGAAGGATGATTGGCTTCCCTGGTCAGCCCAAGTCGTACACTGTGGCGAAATGAGAAAAATGGTCCTCTACATGCCAGCCAGCACACCAGCCTCGAGAACACTCAGAGTGGGCTTAAGGACTGACACTTCAGAGTCAGAAGTGGCTGGATGGAGCCCCCATTCTATTGCTTACTAGTGGCACAACAGGACTGCCCATTGCACACAGCTGTGGAGGTTCGGGACTGAAATCCACCTTGCTCTGTTCCCCCAGCCCTGTGCCTTCATCCAGGCATTGTGTCTGTCTGAGGAAGGGGGACTTTCTTCTTTCATGAAGTGCCACCTGCTCAGCAAGCAACCTTTCCATGGGCTGCATCTGTGCATGGAAGGTGGCTGGACCGGTGGCACCTTTTGGGTTGGGCTGACTCTGTGATGTTGCTTTCTAAGTCAGGTGGCTATCTATGGCATCTTACGTGGAAGAGATAAAAGCAGAATATATTCTCCTCTCTAAGCATTCAGAATGTCTAGGGATTCATTGCCTGTTGGGGAACCTCCTTCAAGATTCAAGATTCACCCTTTGATTCAGCCCAGGCAGCAGACAGCTTTCCGTGTCTCCTTCTTCCCACACTTGGAGAGAGGTCACTTCTCAAAGCTTCAGTAGGTTAATTTGAGCTATGAGTCCAGTCAATATACAGGAAAGATCCAGTGAGCAGTGACTGAAACCACTCTCAGAGTCCACATGCAGCAAGCGAGTGATAGTCAGTTTTGTACCAGGAACAACTGAGGAGGATGTTAAACACACAGATCTGCTCTCCCCTCAGAGATTCTGATTTAATAGGACTGGAAAGGGGCCAGGCATGTCTGTGTGTGTGAGAAACTCCTGATAGGAGTTTAAGAACAACTGCTATTGACAAGAAAATTCCATAAACATACATATATATATATGTATATGTAATACCATATATATGTGTGTGTGTGCATGTGTGTATATATATATACACACACACAAGGTATTATTCAGCCATAAAAAAGAATGAAATCTTACCATATGTGACAACATGGATGGATCTATTGCTGTAGACAAGAAAATTCCATATATATATATATATATATATATATATACCATAAATGGAATACCATACATAGCCATAAAAAGGAATGCAATCTTGCCATTTGTGACAACATGGATGGATCTAGAGAGTATAATACTAAGCAAAATAAGTCAGTCAGTCAAAGACAAATACTATACAATTTCATTCATATGTGGATTTAAGAAATAAAAAAAAACAAAGGGAAAAGAAAGAGACAAACCAAAAAACAGACTCTTAACTATGGAGAAAAAACAGATGGTTACCAGAGGAGAGGTGGGGGGTGAGGGGAGAAATGGTGAAATAGGTGAAGGGATTAAGAGTGCACTTATGATGAGCAAGGAGTAATATATAGATTTGTTGAATCACTGCACTGTACACCTGAAACTCATATGACACTATATGTTAACTATATTGGAATTAAAATTTTTTTAATGAAAAAAATGTTAAATAAAATAAAACTTTTTTAAATAAAAAAATTATTTAACACATAAAAAGTAAATTGTAGAAAAATTAAAAATTAAAAAATAAATAAAATAGAATGAATAAGGAATTAAAAAGAACAAATGCTATAAAACAGCACTACTTCTCAATGGATCTGAAGATAAGTTCCCGAAGTAACACAACACTAGTACTTTGCCACTGCAGAGTGAAAATGTACAATTCTAGAATTGTGAGAAAGCAGAGGATATGTATGCAGACATGGAATATGCAAAATATACAGCAATTTTAAACGTAAGTCTGAAAACTGGCTCTCACCATAGGGGGGTCCGGGCTCCCAAAGGTTGAGATGTAAACTATGGACCTATATTCCCCAGTGACCTGGGTCTCCAGGGCCAGAGGTATGTGAATGGTGCTGTGTGGGGGGATGACTCCACATGGGGTGGGACTGGAGAGTAACACGGCCGGCATGTCTTCATGTACCTGGTGGGAGAGACAAGCTGGAAGGATAAGCAAGCCCCTGGCAAGGCACAAAATAAATAGCATATTAGATTATTCTGAAACAGGTGTTGCCCCAAGTCCATGCAGGTTCTTTAGGAGGATGTCATCATTCAGGCAAGTAAATGGGGATCAGCACCTCAATTCTGCTAAAGGGAAGCAGGGTGTGCAGAAGGCCCCAATCCAAAGTGCACAACCCAGCAAGATGCAGAAATTATCCACAGTGTGAATTAGTTCATGGGAACAGCTTCCCATGGCCAAATTCCTTCACCTGGCCCTCCACGTCCTCCACCACCTGGTCCCTTTACGCTCTGTCAACAGGGACCATCGGATTTTCCTGAACACGTGATACTGCTTCCTACTTCCAACACTCTGGAATGCCCTCTCCCTTCAATGGACCTGCACATTTATCCTGAATACCCACAGGTATCCTTCGTGCTCTAGAGTAAGGGTGTTTCCTCTGTCCCTAGGGGGCATCCTACAGTCCTTCTCCATAGCATGTACTATCTGTGTCCATCTGTTCCATGGGCTGTCAACTTCCTGGGGCATGACCTGGGCCTCTGCTGGCGCGATTGCTGCCCAACACATATGCTCACTACACGTTTTTTAAATGGCAAAATAGGTAGGTGAATAAATGAATGTTATCCAGTGTTTACCAATGTATGTCCTTTAGAACCTTGCTCTGCAGCATATTACTAGCTTTTTTTTAAATGTTTTTATTTTATTTTATTATTTTATTTTTGAGACAGAGAGAGACAGAGCATGAGCAGGGGAGGGGCAGAGAGAGAGGGAGGCACAGAATCTGAAGCAGGCTCCAGGCTCTGAGTTGTCAGCACAGAGCCTGATGTGGGGCTCAAACTCACGGACTGTGAGATCGTGACGTGAACTGAAGTCGGACGCTTAACCCGCTGAGCCACCCAGGTGCCCCTATATTACTCGCTTTTATGGAACAACAGCAACAAATAAAACTTTAGCTAGATGGGGGTGCTTGGGTGACTCAGTCGGTTGAGCATCTGACTCTTGATTTCAGCTCCGGTCACAATCTCATGGTCTGTGAGATTGAGCCCCATGTCAGTCTCTATGTTAGCAGCCAGAAGCCTGCTTGGGATTCTTCCTCTCTGTCCCTCCCCTGCTCACGTGTGTGGCTCTCTCTCTCTCAAAAATAAATAAATAAACATTTTAAAAAATCTTAAAAAAAATCTCATGACCAAATAAGTTTGGGTAATTCTGGGAAACCTTAGCTGTTGGAGAAAGACAGAACATACAGATTTCACCTGTCCAGGGACCCCCATGGTCTTCGTACACCTGGGCTGGCCTAACATGGCCTAATCTAACGCATCTTGCCTACGTAGCAATGCTCTGCCCAGCCTTACTGGAACCTGAAGCAAAAGGGAAAATCAGCTGATTCTGCCTTTATCTATTATCTTGATTTTTTTTTATGAACTATTTTGCATTAATTTTGATTTTTAAAATGTGACATAAAAATGTGATTTATCTTGATTCCTAAGTTTTTTGGCTCCCCCCGCCAACCAAATTCTGTGCTCATGGCAAGTGCCTCACCCGTTTCCAAGCCTGCCTGTGCAGAAAAAGCTTCCTTATTACCCCAGATGTAAGTAAACTGTGCTCTAAGTTCTTGAGATGATCATACAATACTCAAGGCTAGCCTGTTCCATTGTTGATCGTCTAAAAGTTAGAAAAGTTGCCTCCCATCAACCCAACGCTTGGTTTCTGGTTTTGTCTCAGAGAAGCCCATACAATAGTTCTAATTTTCTCTTCTATATAATAGCCCTTTGAAGGGAAGGGTGGCTATTTCATCCTAGTTAAGGCTTTCCTGTTCCCAATTAAACACTGTGCTCCTCATATAACTTGGATTTCCAGATGATGTTGATTGCCATTCTGGTTACTTCACATGTGATTTTTTTTTCTCATGTTTCCATCAAAAAAATACAGTGTCAATATCTGAAGACAAAACCTGGCACTGCCTTGAGCAGTAGCTATCTCCTTCCTTTAGCTGATCACAGTGTTTCTCTCATACACCCTAACCCGCCTTGGTTCTGAGGCCTCCATACTGGTCTTTGAACACATTTTGAAACTGTAGTCAGATAAAACCCCCATCTGACTTGTTTTTGGGATTTTTTTTTTTTTTGGCATGAATTTTTATTAGAGTACTGTCCTTATAGAACAATAGAGTTTTAAACCCAAATGCATTCTTGGTAAATTGCATCCTATTAGTGACCTTCCATTACTTTAGTCTATGAAGATCTTTTTGACTCTTTAACCCATATGTGCTTAATTGCTCAGTGCCCCACCTAGCTGGGTGTAGTGGCATGTGGACAGATCCATTCATAAAACATTAGAAGGCAACTTCATTTTTTCTTTTTGTAGTGTCTCTAGCCTTCTAGTTCAACAAGTCCACTTATAAATACTGCATTACTGTACTTTAGCGATGCTGTTAAAGTCACAGCCATAGCCATAAATGAAAACTCTTAGCTATGCCTCATTTCCCACGACTGATTAATTCATAGGCAATTATTTGTAGGTGAGACTTCTGCATGTTGGCTTAATTGACCCTTGCCTTTCTTTATCAAAGGCAATTTCCCTGGGAAATTAAGAACTGTTTACACCTGCAGCTGCTCGATCATGCAGGTGGCAATCCAGCTGTGGCTTTATGACCCCATGCCCGTTTTATCCCAGGGTTCAAAATCAGAATTACAGAAGGTCATGTGTTCAGGAATATGGCTCTTTAGAAGGATTTCTCTTTCTCATTGAGGGAATCCAACTGAAGAAAAATCAACACTGAAAAAGGATAAAGTAAGTCACCTGAGGTAGAACCTCATAGCATCCTGGGAGGTCATCGTGATTGACAAGCTGGACCGTTTTCTCATAGGGGTACTTCAGGAAGCAGCGCCCAAAGTCCACCTCTGTGTTCACCATGTGGAGGGTAGGTACAATACACCTGCTCAAAGGAAAGACCCATTAAAGAATTCAAAAGGATAGAGAGCTTGTTTACAGATGGAGAATGCAGAGTCCCAAGTTAAACACATTTGTCACTGTCACATGGTTTTTTTTCTAATAACTACATTAATCATTTTTAAATCTTCTCTCCTGTCATTCCTATCCCTTAGCCCCCAGTCACCACTGTTTAATCAAAAAAGGGCTAGAAGCAAGACTCCTTAAACAGCGGTCTTCCATGAGTAATGACTAACATTTCCATTGTTTTTCATATTTGGCTTTCTTTTACCAAGGCGCTCCCACAGTGTAAGTTCCTTAGGGTAGTGGAACTGTTTCCAAGGCAAATAGGGCCAATGCTACCAGCATGGGGTCCTAACTAGCTGTGACACTCTGGACCAGTCAGAGTCCCCTGAGGACGAGCTACAGTTTGCACCATCTAAATTATGGTAATAATTCTAATTCCTAGGCAGAACAGCTGTCTGGGATCAGGCTTGGGCAGCTGCTCAACCCAGAAATGGCACCGTGACAGTGGTGCTCAATGTGAAGGTGGGTGTGGTAGGGGAGGGGAGGCAGAGTGGGGTGCAGGGGAGGAGGAGTTGAAGCCCTGTGTGTGCAGTTGGTCTATCATGAGGTTATCTGTGTTTCATTTTGTGTCTACATCTCAAAGTCTTCCCTGCCTTGCTGCACTGTCACAATATAGTGTCGTGGTGAGGAGCACTGGCATCTGAATCAGAGCCAGGCTCAAAGAGTGACCTTAACAAATACAACCTTGAGCAAGTTGCTTTCCCTACCGGAGTTGCATTTTGCTCCTAGGTAAAATGAAGGCAATTCTAGGGATTGACATTAGCATAATTAACTCCGAGTGTTGTGGGAAATACAGGAGCTAACGTGAGAGAAGAGCACAGCACAGTGCCTACTGCACTGAGCGAGAGCTCAGTCAGAGATGATTAACCTGTGGTAGAGGGCACTGCGAGCTGTCACGGCTGGCTCTCTGCAAGTTCTGAAAGCAATTCTTTTGTTGAGGGTCTTCAAGCAGTTCCTACTGATTACACCAAAAATAATGACATGAAAGTGAGTCTTGTTAACCCAAAATTTGAGGTTTAGCACGGGATGAGTGTTCATTTTTAGCTAGAATGGAAGCTGTCAGTTGACCCGATGACTTGCATAAAGCTAACCCTTCACTACCTGAAACACTGTGGCTGATAGGACTTAGAGTAAGTATTTCACTTGGGTCACACACAGAGTACACATGGTAGGAAACTCATAACCTCTTAGGACTCTGTTGTTGTTGTTGTTGTTGTTGTTTTCTTTAACTCAGGGTTTCCCATTGACAGCTGCAGGGAAAGGGGGCTGAAAAGGGGAAAGTATCAGAATCAACCCACCCAGAAAAGAAATGCAAGCCTGGACAAAAAAGCTAAACCTGGGTATAGAAAGGACCAGATGAAAGAGCTTTTGCTGTTTTTAAACACGCAAAACAATTAGTTAGGTCTTTGGAAGGACTAAGTAGACCATGGCAAGGCCTTGACCTTCAAGTTCTTTCTGATACATCTGAAATTCATGAGACCTAAACTCATCCCTAAACTCTAGGGATGGATATGTTATCAGGCTTTTATTAAGTAATTTTCTCAATTTCATTTAGATGGCATTTACATACAAACCCTCTAAAGCCCCAGACCTGGACACCTGTTTGCTTTGGCAAGAGTGTGGCCCACGATTTTATTTATTTAATCAGGATCACTGTCATCATTAGCATCACACTCCACTCTTAGGAAGACCCCAACTTGGTCAAGGAGACACAATCAACAAATGGCAGAGCCAGGATCTTAACCTGACTTGAGAGTCCACTGCTGCCTCTATTAAAATGGAGAGAAGGTGGGTACGGTGCTGAGGAGTTTATGTTGTTAGAGAGCCTCATTCGGGAGGCCTGCTTGCAGCCTGCATTGAAGTCATAGTAAGTGTCCTGGTGCAGAACTGTCTTGCTAAATGGACCTTCCACTGCAGGCCTGTGAGCACCACTCTTTCTGGGCATAACCCTGGAGTACTATATTTAAAAATAAAAATTACAAAAACAGCAACTTATGGGGTGCCTGGATGGCTCAGTCCTTCAAGTGTCCAACTTCAGCTCAGGTCATGATCTCAGGTCAAGCCCCACGTCGGGCTCTGTGCTGACAGCTCAGAGCCTGGAGCCTGCTTCAGATTCTGTCTCCCTCTCTCTCTCTGCTTCTCCCCTGCTCACGCTATGCCTCTCTCTCTCACAAATAAAATAAACATTAAAAAAAATGTAAAGAAAAAAAGCAACTGTTCACCTCTTCCTGGTAGAACCCTTTCAGTTACATACATGGAAAGTCAGACCATTAGGGAGCACTATTATTCTTAACGCTGCAAAACGCGCGCGCGCACACACACACACACACACACACACACACATCCCTTTTCTTATCCTCACCAGAGGTGTGTGCCTGCTGTTTTAAAGCTTTATCATTTGAATATCAGATTCCATATCAGATTTGCTTTCCCAGGAAAGCAGAACAAATGCAGTGAGAACTGGTTGCAGGCATGCTGCCTCCGTGAGAGGCAGCCATTGCTGGCTGGCAGCTCAGGGGAGACGCAGGAGGAGAGAAAGCAGGTGAGTGTGGTACCTGGCTGTGATTAGGAGCGCCAGCACTTCTTCCCCGATGCCCTCCACGTCCACCACCAGGGCCAGCTCATATTTCTGCACGGTGTTGGAGCATAAGGTCACCTGGAAAGATAAAGGTGAAAAGCCGCTCTTCCACAAGGCCGGCCCTCCCTCTGTGCAGCGGAGAAAGGAGCCAGGGGAGGACAGCACTGATGAGGACGGCTTCTGAGTACTTTTCATGGGGTGTTTGGCGTTTTACATTTTCAGTTGAACAAGTTACATTTTGGGGTCATGGCATGCTGAGTTTTTTTCAAAGGCGAGGTTAGAAACCAAATGGCTTTTAGTACAATAGGTTTGCTCATTTCTGAGAAGACTGTATCAAAGAAGTCATATACCTGCATAAGGGGGAAAAAATGACCCTGAAAGATAAGCCATAACAAGCAAACTTTCATTACTCAATTTAAATTGTTCTCTATGCCTCCTGGCTATAGAAATTACAAAAATTCAACACACCAATAAAACACTACAGCTAAGTTTCTCTTACAGCAAAATAAATGAACATGAAACCATGTCAGTTCCAGAAAAGGGCCTAAGAAATCAACTAGTCTTTTTTTTTTAATCAAAATCTTGTCTCCCCACTGTCCACCATATTCATTATTAGAACAGAAAATGGGAAGCTCCAAAGAAAGGTCTATTCAAGGACAGTATGTGCCCAATATATTCTATCCTCTGATTTTTATTTATTATTGTGAAATTTTACATTTAGCTGTTGAGGTCCTGTCACAGTTTTTAATTGCTTAAAAATGATTTGTAGTGGAAGAGATACTTGTAAGTCTAGAGAACAGCTTCTAGCATAGGTTAAAGCTTTTCTGTACATAAATTATGTATGAAGGACTAATTAAAGAATTTTTGTTTGGTTGCAAAGGGAATCACTGGATGCAAATTTGAGTCCACACAGACATGGTTGATGTAGTTCAGGAGTGAAAATTGAAGCTTGGGGAAAGCTATTCCAAATCTGAAGGGAAAATAAAGTGAAGGTGGAGCCACTGATTTGGAAAGAAAATTTGTCAGATGTGGAGAGAAGCAGTTGGCCCAGCATGCAGAGGTTCCTGGAGTGACTCTAACCCCTGTTCCTGTCTCTGAGCTCTGGTTAGAAGGCAGAGCAAGTGGCTCTCACAGAAGGCTGCCAGGCAGGTGCTATGTCTTTGCAAACCTTCCTGTGCAATGTGTGAGAGGGAAAAAAGGAAAGGTGGGTGATGTGTAGGCTGAGCATGAAGTAAAAAATAAATTCTTTGCAATAGCACTTCTTCCTGGGAAAGCCACAGTGAGCCACTGCCATGATCTGAAAGGTTGTGTCCCACCCCCCAAATTCGTAGGTTGAAATCCTAACCCCCAGTGTGGTGGAAATTAGGAGGTGGGGCCACTGGGGGTGATTAGGTCATGAGGGTAGAGCTCTCATGAACAGGATGAGGACCCTAATGAGAAAGACCCCACAGCTCCTCTCCACATAAGTCAGCAGGCCGCCCCTCACCAGAACTCTACCATGTGTCACCCTGATTTTAGACTTCCAGCCTCCAAACCATGAGAAATAAATTTCTGTTGTTTATAAACCACCCAGTCTCAAGTATTTGGGGTTTTTTTTTAAACATTTTTTATTAAGTAGGCTCCACACCCAGCATGGAGCCCAATGCGGGGCTTGAACTCACAACCCTGAGATCAAGGCCCGAACTGAGATCAAGAGTCAGACACTTAACCCACGGAACCACCCAGGTGCCCTTCAAGTATTTGTAATAGCAGCCCAAATGGACTAAGACTGGGAACCTGAGAAGTGACAATGATATGTGATACAAACCTCATTGGGCCCACGGAGATGCCCTTGGGAGAGCCAAAGACTCCCAGAAAAGATTTAGGATGAGCGGCTTCACGGTGAGATATTATGAAACATTTAAAGCAAATGTGGGGCCTAAAACCATACCTGAATTAAATATTCAAAGGTCATGACTAAAGAGAAAATTGCCAACCTTCGCCATGGAAGTCTTCTCTTTTTTCTTTCCCAGAAAAGATAAAATCATTTCAACTTAGCAGCCTTCAGTAATGCTAGACCTAACTGTTTGGAGGAGCAAAAGTAGGTGAAGGAAAACAGTAAAATCCTTCTCAGTGAGCTGTGAAATAATTCTGCTGGTGGCTCTGCTAGGCCATGCCCAGAGCATCACACTGTGGGCCTAAATATAAAGCACTGTTAGGGATATCACATCTACGTTCACCATGAAGCCCAGATTTGTATTAAAAATCTGAATAAATTGGGTATCATCTGTGGCACAAATACGGACATTGATTGGTATGAACAATTAGATTCTGAAGGAAAGGAGCACCTAATTATCAGTGAGTTCTTAAATCTTTTTACATCTATATTGATGAGTGTACTATCTATGCAGAGCAGGGGTTTCACTGGATTTCTCTAGAATCCACGGTTTTGGTGAAGGCAATGCCTCTGGATTGATGGAAATTCACGGGAGCAGTGTCAGTTCTTGTGCCCAATATATTTGTATCTGGTTTCTTTTGCCTCCGTGGTTTATTTCCTTATAGGCCCACTTTTCCACGTGAATTAGAGGCACTCCCTCACGCTGACAACGGATGTATAAAGCAAATCCTAGCTGTGATCCTAGTAACTATCTGAGAGTGTGGCTGCCTGGGAGTATGTGCTGGGAGGCTGTGCACTTTACCCTGATAGCAGCAAATCCTTGGGGGCGAATGGTGCCACTGCTGGGAGTGATGGTGAATTCTTTTGGTTTCATTACGGGTCTTTCGTCCTTGTTCCAAAATGGTATTTTGTTGTCTGAACACCGCTCACAACTTGAAATGCTTTTATGGCCATCGCCATCTCCAGGGACGCGCAGTTTGAAGGTCATGGGGACTAAGGAGGTATTATTGAGGGAACATATCAAGGTATGAGGGAAACCTGGAAAACAAAATGTAAGGTGAGATATCAAAGCCCCACTGTAGCCTCCCTTGAAACTTCAACCTCTGCTAGTATTGCCAAACCACTTAAATGAACTGCCTGTGCAATTCATCACCACTTGCTTAACTCTACCTCTCCCTGATATTGTCCTCAATTGTACCGTCAATGAATGCATTTCATTCATTCATTCAGTCAGTCAGTCAGTGAATACTTATATACGCGTACTATGTAGCAACTATAGACATAAAACAAATCACTTGATGTTCATCCAGGTCCCTCTCAAGAAGCAGCATCTATTATTATCTGTTTGGTGAGTAGTTCTCCAGAAGTATGCTTTGCATTTAATTTTTACACAGAATACAGATTTTTTTAAAAAAATTGAATCATGTTTGCTCTTTTTATCTGCCAACGTGTGAAAGGAGAAGCCTGTGTGGTTTTCCCTGCTGTGTGACCCAGAGCCCGCAAGATATTATATAACTCCTCCTGGACCTGTCTGAGGCTCATGCTCCCAGGGTCGATGACACAAAATCAAATAATAGCATCTCCTGAGAGAGACTTTACAATCTGCTTTTGAGCCAGCCAGAGAGTAACACACTGGCTTTTACCTCCCTTAGACAAAGCTACTTTTTCACGTTAAATCCAGCCTTCCTACGTTCAGTTCAGTGAGACTCCTGTTCCTTTTCTAAGAGATGTGGATCCTCCTTGCCTGGCAGGCAATAAACTGAGCTCTGATTTTGGATTCCCGAGGTGGCCACTCTATCTGCATATTTCTATGGGATGCAAACACTATTCTTTCTACCTGGAGCCCTAATGCAGTAAAACACAATTGGTCTCTGCTAGTTACTACATTACTGCAGGGGATATTTTGGACTGATCTATTTGTCTCCCCATTTCTGAGCCTTTGTCTACACATTAGGACTGTTGGAGGAAACACATTTATATCTCCTTTGTCATATTACCTGCCAATCTACTTGGAAGAGATCTCTTATGGAAAAAGAATTGCCTGCTTAAATGTACCTGAAGGACTCTCTTGGAAATTCCAGAGGAGCTGCTAGAAAGTCCATTTAATAATCATGTATTGCTGCATTCAGCTTTCCAGAACTTTCCCAGCAAAGACTATTGAAACTGTAGATCCCTCACCCTTGTTTATTTTTACTTGACCATTTATGGGATCAGCACTCTTCTAATGTAAAGGGTACACTGGAAGTGGTTTGTATAAAGATTCAGATGGGTCCTTCCAAACCATTGCTCAGACTATTTCCCTGAAGCTAGAAGGTTTTTTGAGAATAAAGCCAACTATAACCTCCTAACTAGAACAATTCCTTGTACAATGACCTGTAAACCCCATATCGCTTGCTAAAAAGCCTAAAGAAAGTGGTATTCTTTTGTTAAAGACTGAAGGGTCATTAATAATACAAGCGTTACTCCTAGCTTTCTGCTTGCACCAAATCCTAATACTATTGGTTTTAGGCTTCCCTTATGCTTTCAATGATCTCTTCTGCTAACCTTTCTCAGATCTTTCTATAATCATTATAATTAAGATTGTAAGGGACAGGGGAACGTGGATGGCTCAGTCAGTTAAGCGTCCACCTCTCGACTTTGGCTCAGGTCATGATCTCACGGTTCATGAGATCGAGCCCTGCATCAGGCTCTGAGCTGGCAGTGAGGCTTCTGCTTGGGATTCTGTCTCCCTCTCTCTCTGCCCTTCCCCTGCATGTTCTCTATCTCTCTCTCAAAATAAATAAAAATAAACTTAAAAAAAAAGGTTGTAAGGGATAATTACAATTAATTGTCCCTGGGCCCCCACTTTACAACCTCCTAAAATCAACTTAAATATTTCTTCTTGAGTGAAATACTGCCTGTTCGTACCTGGGCCATGGAAGACAACTATCGTGATTTTTAAAAAATGTTTATGGCCCTTAAACCCTAACTTCTCTGGCCAAATTATCCAATGGTCAGGTCCACTGAATGTCTGGAGTCTTCCAAACTCCCTATTCTCATTCCACATATTCCTGTACCTGTTGAAAAACAGTGAGTTTGCAAATACTTACACTCTGCCCTTTTGGTCTATAATCTGGCATCTCAGTTGTTACCTGGTCCATTGAATTCTTTGATGAATCTGAGGACTTATCAAAGCTTCACTGCTCTTTCAGAGATCATCACCACCTATATTCTAGAATCTGATTCTTTCACCCTTCTAGCTTCCATCAACCTAATTATTCGATATGTCATCCAACATCCAATCCTACCATCAAAATATTTATAGCCATACTTTAAACATTTCAGATACCAAACAACAGTACTATTACCTGTCATCTACTTTAGGGTATTTATAGTAATCTAACACCATCAATCCCAATAGGCCCTGATGCCTAAGCTAGATCTGCATCTCTAAGCAAATAAAGGCTATGTCTCCAACACTAACCTATAACCTATAAGCCTTTTTGCCAAGATGGGGACAATATCACCAACTTTAACAATATGTCTGTCATTCTGAAATAACTAAAAAGATTCCTTCAATTCCTGGCTTATTCCTGTAACCATTAATTTCTCTTGCATTTCGAACTATCGAACTATTGAAAGACCTACTGGTCTTTCATTCCTGAGCCAATCACATGCTTACTTTTGTCTGCCTCATCAAAGCCGTATTTGCACATGTGAGGTAATAATTAGGAAGTTGCCAATAAATAACTCTTCAATGTACCATGTTTCTTTGTGACAGGAGGCCTATCTTCCTGGAGAAATAAATAATGACACTTTGGGTAGGAGTCATGAAAGAACTCTAGTACCAGCTTTAGGACTTAAAAATATTATCATCAAATAATTCTAAAACTGTATCACAAAATGGTTCCTAACCTTGGCTGGTACATTGCAGAATCTAGAAGCACAGCGAAGTAGCCTGAATTGACTGACCCAAGTGGTTTTGAAAATGAAATAGCCCTAGATTTCCTGTTGGCAAGCAAAAAGGTATGTTTTTCATTAATACTTCCTGCCACACCACAGGGAAGATTAAGGAATCCATATCCAAACTAAAAGAAATGTAACTTGAATTTTGAAAGTGGACTTAAGCGGGATAAGTTTTTACGTCTCAGACCTGGGGACTGTTGGGTCATGGCTCTGTAGTGTCTTCCCACTCTTATCTAGCTGCGTTATTGCCAAATGGTTCAGTAAGATGTTGTACAGCAAAAGAAAAATAAACTTTTTGTAATTTTCATCTAAGCTAGTTACCAAAACTTCTAGCTGGACCAACTATGAGAAACAACTGTTGATTATTTTCTCTATAGCTCAAGGAAACAATGAATAAATTACCCAATAATGGCTTTTCCTATATGTTTAGGGATAAGAGAGGGCCAAATGGAAGATGTTAATGGGAAAAAAACCTACCTAGCTTTGGAGCATGCATAAATGGTTTTATCTACTAGGTTACCCAGAGCTTGCCAATATCAAATACAGCATTTTGAACACCTCCTGTTTGCCATATTTCACTGAAATGTACCATTAGGGGCCTTGATGCTTTTAAATGTTTGGATTCTAGATAAAAGTGTTCCAGATATTCTCAGGGCTCAAAAATTGGCTTATCGTTGGTACAGTATTTACATTAACCTTTCAATAGGGCAGATTCTAGATAATGAATCAGTATGATATTTCTTGGAGGGACTGATTTGAGGGTTTTTTTTTGTTTGTTTGTTTTTTAAATTTTTTTTTCAACGTTTATTTATTTTTGGGACAGAGAGAGACAGAGCATGAACGGGGGAGGGGCAGAGAGAGAGGGAGACACAGAATCGGAAACAGGCTCCAGGCTCTGAGCCATCAGCCCAGAGCCTGATGCGGGGCTCGAACTCCCGGACCGCGAGATCGTGACCTGGCTGAAGTCGGACGCTTAACCGACTGCGCCACCCAGGCGCCCCTGATTTGAGGTTTTTATTTGGATTATTTTTTCTCCCTCCAGGGCAATATGATACAGGGCATATCTTCCAAATGTTCTGTGTTGGAGCTCATATTTAAATGCCTGTGAGGGTATGTTGCTGTCATGCATCAGTTGCCCAGAACTCTCTGTGAACTCAGTTGAGCTGGTTGGAGGGTAACTGCATAGGTCTTTGGGTAATTCACCTCTCACTGCATATCAGTCATGGTTTCCCTTGAGAGAGTATGCCTCTCTCAGTTGGCCAACAGACAATTTTCAAATTGTAGGTCACTTTTACTTTCCTTCGAAAACTCTATCACTCAAACATGCACTACAAATTTCTAAAAATTCCTCTAGCCATTCTCATATTCTATGGTAACAAACAGACATTCAACTCCATTGATATGGATTTTCCTGTATTTAGGAAATGTTAAATGTTAAAGCAATGGATAAAAACATTATTAATCAGCTTTTTGCAAAGAAAGGATATTTTTTGTAAAGAAAAAATTTTCCCCAAGTAGATGGCCCTACTTGAAGCAAAAGAACTGAAAGTCAAAATGGGAGGCAACTGAGAAAAATGGAAAGGATTATGGACTATGGATTCAGGCTAGGGTTTCTCAGTCTTTCCTAAATTATTATCACCTCCTAAAAAGAACCACTGTGGTTAATTAATTTTCAGTGAAATCAATCAATTAAATATAATTTAAATTTGATTAATTTCTCCCTAATGAGAAAAATTAAATACTAAGGAACAAGATTCTATTGGGTAGGGTTGAACTTTGGAGGACCACAAATGTGGGTTAGATCTACACTCTTCAACCCCAAACAAACAATTTTTGACCCTTTGGGGGCAAAATCATCCCTGTTGACAGTGTATGATTTAGAGAGAGCTCAAGCGAAATACTCATTCTGCCACTGCTATATGACCATGGGAAGTTATTTAACTGTTCGAATGATCAGTTCTTCCAGCTCCAAAAGGGGAATCTTAAATAGTATCTCCCCAAAGGATTTAAAGGGTTAAATGCAGTACTGAATGTGATTCACTTAGCAAAGATTAGAATATAAGACAGAACCAATAAATGGAAACTTTTACTGCTGTTACCATTGTTATTATTTGGAAAGGTGGACACAGGAGGAAATGACTCAGGGGAAGTAACTGAGCAAGAAGACAACACAAAAATATAGAAGTCTTCAGCTTGGAGTGATAGGACACCTGAGTCAAACCACCACTGAATTCACTTGAAACTTGAGAGCATCTCTGTGAAGAGGCTGTTGTGTAGACATACTGGCAAATCAGAAACTGCATATAAAATGGAGTGTTCAGAACATTCAGATAGCAGTGTGAAGTTTAAGGCTTTCTATTGTTCCACTGCTGAATGAGCAAGGACAACCATGGCCTGACAGCTATTAGTGCCCAGGACACAGTTATAACTTTCACATATAAACTAGGAAATGGCACTGAAATGTCACTGCTGCAGAGGAAGAAAAGAACAATTCTAGACTTTCTTGCTATTACTCGTAAAAAATTAGTAAGAGAGCTTTTGTGTAAACTTTCCTCCTTCCATGTAGAGAGAGAGGCAATTCCACTCAATTTCTAATTTAATATGGAAAAATTACTCACCAAAGGAAACATCGCCAAAGTGCAGAGCAGGAACATTAAAGTGGAAGGTAGGTCCAATGACACAGCCTCTGGAAGTAGGAATACAAGTTGGGGAGAGTGGATAAAGAATCCAGTGAATTCAGTGTAACAGTCAGGAACTAGGAAGACAGTAAACATTAAAGCCATAAACTGGCATTAAATCAAGTACAGAATCTAGCACTTAAAGAAACCACAAGCTGATGGTCTTATCGCGGTGGTTCTTAGAATTCTTTTTCAAGACTCAAACCACTGGGTTTTAGCAAATGATGCTGTGATTAATTTATCACCAAATGCCTACCAATGAATGAGGCAGAGCAGACACATCACCAAACCAATGACACAGAATATTAATATGGATAATATACATATCATGAAAAGTTATCCTTAGACAAGAAACAAAAATTATAGCATTAAAATAATAAGCATTAAAAACTATCAATGGCACCAATATTCCTGGTCCCAACTTTTATAAAACTGTTTTTCCAATTCCTACCACCAACTAGTTGTGATCTTGGCCAGTCACATTACCCCCATAGCCCCCAGTTTCTTTTCCTCCTGTATAAAAGAAAAGACTGCAATCTGGTATAGGTGACCTTAAAGGACCTTTGCTGTAAATGTTGGTTCATTTCTCTCTCAGTGCAAGGCCTCATGATCTTGGAGTGATTCTCTAGCTTAAGGTAAATAGTAGAGAGATTCTACAGTTTCTAGTTGACTTCAGCTGCAGTAAATAGCATAATGGTCCCCAATGATGTCTATGTGCTACTCCTCAGAATGTGTGGATATGTTAGATTACATGATAAAGGGGAATTAAGGTTGCAGAAGAAATTAAGGTTCCTAATTAACAGATCTTAAAATAGGGAGACTTTCCTAAATTATCCTGGTGGGCCCCATGTAACCAAAGTGTCTTTAAAAATACAAAAGGATGCAAAGAGGAGGCTGGAGTAATGCAATGTGAGAAGGACTTAACCAGCTATTGCTGGCTATGAAGAAAGAGGAAGGGGACCCTGAGCAGAACACTGTGGGCATCTTCAAGAAGCTGGAAACCACTAGGAAATGGATTCTCTCCTGGAGCCTCCAGGAAGCAACACAGTCCAGTCAAGACCTTGATTTTAGCCCTATAAGACCTATGTTGGACTTTAAAAGTATAGAGCTATAAAATAATAAATTTGTACTGTTTTAAGCTACAAAGTTTAATGTAGGAGTAAAAGAAGACTAATAAATATGTATTAGCTTATTCTTGATTTTTACCATGATCCATATCCCTAGAATCTAGGTAAGAACTAAGATAATCCCCACCGATGTGCCAAGCTTTTAAAAATTATAGACAGGAATTCCGGAAGATGGAGGCGTAGGAGGACGCTGGGCTCACCGCGCGTCCT